ATTCCATTTCGGATTTTTTTTTAATTTTTTAAATTTTTTTTTGTTGTTGTTGAAATTTTAAGCTTTTTATTTCCGACATTTTAACCTTTCATTTCGACATTCTAAAGTGTTCATCTCCGACATTTTTCAGGAAGTGCTTTCCGGTAATTAAAAATTTTAAAGAATAAATTATAGACTGTTTAGTAAATCAATGTTCGGCGCAGTCTTTGACATTTAATTTCGTGAACATTAAATGCGATGAAAAAATTGCATGCTCATTAAACTCTGTTTACTAGACTTAGTGCTTCATGTACAGATGTATATACATGTATACGGAACTTTTTTTTTATTAAAAATGTTGTGTATAATAAATTCTTTCAAAATTCCATTTCTACATACATGTACCTGGTAAATATTAAATTGCCGGAGAGGTACCTTGCAAAAATACCGGAAATGAAAAGAAATAAATGTCGGAAAAGAAAAGACAAATTGTCAGAAATGAAATAAAGAAATAACGGAAATACCTTGCCGATTTCCGGAAATGAATTGCAGCGGTCCTATTTTTACAGTGGTGTATAAAGTACCAAAACAAATAGATCTTTTTCATATTTTAGTCTGATCTTATAAAAAAAAAAAACGCCTTATATGACTTTAAAGTTTTTAAACGCAGTATAATATAAGGTCCGCCCTCTGTATTTCATATATGTTCATGTCATAAAGTGAAATATTTGGACAGGATTTATTTTCGTAGCTTGAAAACTAGAGAAAAGGATAGGGCGGACCTTAAAACGCAGTTATCGGAAAAGGTCCGCCCTCTGTATTTCAGATATTTTTATGTTATAAAGGGAAATTTTTGGACAGGGTTTATTTTCGAAGCTTGAAAACTAGAGAAAAGGACAGGGCGGATCTTAAAACGCAGTTATCGGAAAAGGTCCGCCCTCTGTATTTCAGATATTTTTATGTTATAAAGGGAAATTTTTAGACAGGTTTATTTTCGTAGCTTAAAAAACTAGAGAAAGAGACAGGGAGGACCTTAAAACGCAGTTATCAGAAAAGGTCCGCCCTCTGTATTTTAGATATTTTTATGTTATAAAGGGAAATTTTTGGACAGGGTTTATTTTCGTAGCTTCAAAACTAGAGAAAGAGACAGGGCGGACCTTAAAACGCAGTTATCGGAAAAGGTCCGCCCTCTGTATTTCAGATATTTTTATGTTATAAAGGGAAATTTTGGACAGGTTTATTTTCGTAGCTTAAAAAACTAGAGAAAGAGACAGGGCGGACCTTAAAAGGCAGTTATCAGAAAAGGTCCGCCCTCTGTATTTCAGATATTTTTATGTTATAAAGGGAAATTTCTGGACAGGGTTTATTTTCGTAGCTTCAAACTAGAGAAAGAGACAGGGCGGACCTTAAAACGCAGTTATCGGAAAAGGTCCGCCCTCTGTATTTCAGACATTTTTATGTTATAAAGGGAAATTTTTGGACAGGTTTATTTTCGTAGCTTAAAAAACTAGAGAAAGAGACAGGGCGGACCTTAAAACGCAGTTATCAGAAAAGGTCTGCCCTCTGTATTTCAGATATTTTTATGTTATAAAGGGAAATTTTTGGACAGGGTTTATTTTCGGAGCTTGAAAACTAGAGATTAGAACTTTTTAGTGTGCAGTGTTTCGAACTTCATTAATTAATATTTTAAGTACCAGTCTAATCGTGTGCAAATTTCCTACTTTTACACAAGTTTTATAAATGTATTATACGTCTTTTGCCATTCACACAAGTTTGTACAAAGTTAGGCTCATAGTAAACAAAAACTTTGAAATGAATGACCGTTCTCGATTTACTATTAATAGAAAATCACAAATGTCAGCTGACCCCTACCACATTGTATGGTTCTGTTCTTTATATGTTCGTGAATTTCAGCGTAAAAAATTGTTGAATCGTATGGTTTAGATATCAATTAATGATTGATGAATCAATGATTTGAGATGAAAAATTTGCTAACTTTGTTTATTTTTTCACATTTTACCAGGGCCCATAAGTGCATTCGTTCTTTTCTGAAATTGTGTGTCTTTAAACTCAGCTTTTTATATGTACAATATCGGTATACTTTAAAACGTTAAACTTTTTTGACAGGTATCTGCGTGATTTTACTACACTCCAATACATCCCCCCCCAAAAAAAAAACATTTAGGAGGGGGGGGGATAAAATGTTTGGATTTTTATTGAAACCGAGAGACATAAGTATAAATAATATATCATAAATGTAGTGTACAGAGATTTTATATGAGCGACATGTATACTCAACAAAAAAAGAAACGCATATTCAGATTAATATGAAAATCTAAGTTTTCAGTTTAAACCTTATTTTATTTAAGTCATTTTAGAGTGTGTTGTGATAAAAATCAAACATGTCCTATGTTGCAACTTGAAAAGTCAAGTTGATGTCATTTTCATTGCCCCCAAATTCAAGGGGCATAATAATTTGTACTGTGCGACGTCTCAATTCTAGTGGGTTTCCAATATACAGATATCGTGGAGGAATACCATCTCTTTTCAGTCTCTTGCGAAAAATTTATGCACTTTTATGCTGATTTTTTCATCCAGCAATTGTAGCAGCAGTTTTACAGCAAGTTCTGAATAGCATGAGGTGCTGAAAGGGGGGTGTGTCTGACGATTCTGCCTGGTTGTGGTTACCTGCGGATGGCAGATAACGGTCTTCAGACATTAGTTTAGCGGTTGCAAAGCCCATTGATTTGTTCCAAATACAGTTGCAACTTCCTATTGCGTAGTTCTGTTTAGTATCATCGTTAGCCTGGTTGTGTTCATCTTTGTTTCGGCGTGGCATTGCAGCATCAACACTGCAATCAAATCTTAAATATGGGTTTAATAGGAGTGTTAATAATTTCTCTAAATCCAAAATATTAATGAAAATAGACATCCGATTTAGAAGAAATCATGAAAAACACTACTTTCATAAACACGTTTAATCAGGGGAGATAATTCAACACTTGGGTTTTAAAACCCCATGTTGTCTTTTAAATAGGTCAAAGGTATCCAATGATATAAAAAATAGTTGTTCCATGTACATTTTAAAAATTTCTTTGACGAGTAAAACAATATGCGTTTCTTTTTTTGTTGAGTATATATTAAATATGAAAAATAAAGGCATTTATAAATCCAGCAATTTATCGACTTATTTGGTTTGATTTCGCCAATTAATGCACATTTACCTTGTCCCGGAGTAATATTTAGTAGGCCGCATTTCATTTCCGGAATTTTCTGAACTTTTCATTTCCGACATTTTTAAGTTTTTACATTTTAAAAGTTTTCATCTCCGACATTTGTCAAATTCATGTCAGTACTTTTTCGTCAATGAAAAAAGAATTCATACATCCGTTATAAAAAGCCTTAAGGTAAAATATTTTAGATAATTTATTCAAATAAAAGACTTTGCTCTTAGCTGTCAAAGAAACTTAATTGATTTTAACCTGGAACAGATCTAGGTACATGTATTGTGAATGTGAATTTTCACTTATTAATAACTGTTTCCTTTACTTATTAACTAGTCTTAATATTGTTTACAGAGTGTATGTAATGATTAGAAAAAACGTGATTTGAAAAAAAATAATATTATACAATGCATATATAAAATACCTTGTCAAAATTCTGTTTCCATCTTTGTGATATATTTGTTAAACTTACATTGCCATAAAGGTATCCTAAAAAATCCGAAAACGTGAAAAAAAAGAAAAAGAAATAAATAATGTCGGAAATGAAAATAAAATTGTCGGAAAATGCAATGTTAAATTCAGGAAATGAAATGCAGAGTTCTAGTATATATAATAATTAGCCTTTGAATAAGTAAGAAACAGTGTTAACATAAAAACACAGGGGATATGGTACTTTAGATTTTCTCAAACGAAACAATTATAGGTTAACCCCCAACTGCCCAATCCGTAGGCATGTTGTTTTTACAATAAAGGTGTAGGGTAGTACACCGTGACATAAGCCCCTGTCAAGCTAGTGACCCTCCAGTTATTTACAACAATATTAAACATAAAGAATGACAGATTTCTTTTATTAATACTGTGAAGAAATATATTTTGAAAGATGTGAACTTGGGTTTTTGTGAGTGGATTAGTCAAACGTTTATCATGTTTATAGGAAAGAGAATGTAACTAAATGATTCGTGTTGGACTTATGAACATTTATCTGTTCATTCAATACTGATTATAATTTAAATCTGCCAGTAAAGTTACAAGGCGGTGAAGGTAAATGTATGTACATTTGTATTCTTAATATTTTTTAATGATAATGTTGACATTAGTGTATTAATTTAAACGACAAAAGAAGCATATCCCATCTTCCCGACAGGAAACCCGATCAATAAATCTATACATTCCTTTATTTATGTATTAATTTCGATTTCTTACTTATTGTTTACTACATTTTCTTGGAGAAAACACTTGCTATTAATACGACTATATATCCTTAATTAATTTTAAAAGAATAGTTTTTCAGTTAATATCGAATGAACCACATGTATACAATTCGTATAAAAGGCCGAGGGCGGACCTTTTCTGATAGAGCCAGGCGGACCAAATATGTTATCGTATTAGGTCCGGCCGGACCTTTAAACGAGGCGGACCAAATATTATGCGACACCGGTCTCTAGTCTACATCCCGCAGTGGGATTTGAACCCGCGACGTAAGGATCAACTCCATAGTCTGTGACTCGCGAGTATACACTCTAATTATTGTGCAATGCGGGCGACAATTCAAAACGTAATTAAAAAAAGATTAACTATCTTATTTTCAAATATCCAAGTTTCAGGACCCCCCTCCCTTCCCCCTGAAAACACCAATAACTGGCCATCAGGTACTACCATTGTACCGTCTGGGACTAAGAATGCCCAGCATCCTTGCCTCACTAAAAATTAGAGCCTAGTTACGGCCTTGTTTTATAAGGAAAACCTTTTCCCGATAGACTAGGAAATAACTTCTCTGTCCTTCAATGACTTGAATATCGCTTATTGCCCTTGACAAGGTCAAGGTGAGAGTCCAGTAAAATGGCTGAAAATTTCCAGCTGTTGACATTATTGGGAACGGGTACATTTGGGGAAGCATGGATTGCAAAGTCAAGAAAACATGAGATGAAATGTGTGGTGAAAGTGATAAACATTCTCCGATTATCTGAACGGGAACTAGATCAGGCCTTAACCGAAGTGTCCGTTTTGGGACGAATGCACCATGTTAATATCGTGCGGTATTTGGACGCCTATGTTCACGACGGGGCTTTAAATATTGCCATGGAATATGCTGATGGTGGTATGTGTATTCAATTAGGAATTTTAATGTTAAGATTTTGCATTATTCACGATCCAAAGATCACGATTTACGAAGATGGTGACCGTGGGTTGAGACCAATGGGAATAAGATTAAAATAGCACGTTTTTTGGTATCATATCCCAGAAATGGGGTTTAAATTCAAATTTATACAATGCAAAAAATAAAATAATATTTCGTTATGAACACCAAATAACTTTGACCAGCATTTTTTATTCCCAATGTGAGATGTAACACTAAGAACTTTCATTGGAACACGTCCTAAAATATGGAACACCACATTAACATTTATTCATATATTGAATATACATGTATCTTCAATTGATTGTACTTATCTTCAAATCAATAATACCTATATTTTGATATATCAAAGATAAGTTTGATTAAATACACATCTTTAATTCATTTGAAGATAGGTAAAGTTGATTTAAAGATTGGTACAATTGGTTTGAAGATAAGTATAATGGATTTGAAGATTGGTAAAAATGACATAAACTGAAGAACCAATCTTTAAATTGAATTGAAGATAGGTGTACTTCTATTAAAGATAATGTAAATCACTTTTTATTCGCGAGAACTTTATTTTCGCGTTATTGCCCCAGACAGTGTGCTCGCGAAAATTAAATTCTCGCGTATAATAGTATTTCTTAAGATTATATAGAGCAATAACCACAATTCGCGAAAAAATTTTCTCGCTTATGAAGAATCAATGACTATCTCGCGAAAATAAGGTGTCGCGAAAATTAAGTGATCTACAGTAGGTGTAATTTGTTTGAACCTAGGTTTAATTACTTAAAGATAATTATGTATAATTATTGTCCCCCGCTTGAAAAGTGGGGGATATTAATTTGGGTTTGTACGTGCAGGCCTATCTGTCAAATTGGACCTCAGATGTCAAGAAACTTAACAGTCTATGCAATTTTATTGTAGATATAAATGAATTTGTTTGGATCCCGTCCGTCCGTCCGTCCGTTTTCTGTCTGTCTGTAACGCTTTCGTTTCCACACGATTCTCGAGAACCCTTTGAGCTTTTGCAATGAAATTTAGCATAGCAACTCCCTATGGACTATATTGATTTTGAGGTCAAAAGGTCAAAGGTCAAGGTCATAAATAAGCAAATTCTGTCTGTTAAAACACTTTCGTTTCCACACGATATCTACACAACCATTTGAGCTATCGCGATGAAATTTTACATAACAACTCCCTGTGGCCTAAAAAAGACCCCTATTGATTTTGAGGTCAAAAGGTCAATAGTTCAAAAATCGTAAATTTATACATTCTGTCTGTGTGTAATACTATCCTTTCCGGGCGATATTTCAAGAAGATTTTGAGCTTATGCAATGTAATTTTATACCAAAACTCCTTAGGACCTCTCTCGCCCCTCTCAAAGTGCCCCGCCCCGTTTGTATTTATAGTACATGTCGCTATTTTTAGCGCAGGGGCATGAGGAGAGTTATTGCGTATAAAACAGGTTCTCGGCGGACTTTATGTTCTTATTACATCTATTATAACTGTTTAATAAAGACTATAAATATATCAAACACCATGGATTGCCTAAAATTTTGACAATACCGAACATGAAAACATGAATATATACGTGTATGTGACTTCAGTTCTGCATATACTTCTCGCCATGTAAAGTGACTCCGTGGTGTAGTGGTTATGTCTCTTGGTTCAAATGTGAGAGGTCCCGGGATTTTCATCTCGGTCGAACCTTTCTTTTTTTTTTTTTTCAAATACTTTTTTTTTTTTTTTGCTAAATGATAGTATTCAGCATGTGAAATGAAAAATTTATGAGGTTATAAAATCATCATTACAGTGTGATAAATATTCCAAGGCATATAAAAAAATCTTCTATACACATAATGAAGAATAAGCAATCAAATCTTTATACGCATATTGACATACATGTATTTTATTTCCTTCAGTATACATGTATACATTTAATAATTCTACAAATTCAGTCAGGGGGAGCCGACTTTTTCCCTAAGCGGGGGACACGAATTCTCTGAATTAGCTTGTTTACACTGTCTTTAAATAAATTGTATCTAAATTCATTTGGACATAGGTTCAATTCTTTGAATATATGTTGATTTGATGTTCCATACTAAACATGTACAATAACTAATTATTAAATGTTAACTACTACATATGCAGAAAACGTACTTTTGAGCAGTTTTCCTTCAATGTACCATTAATTTATGTATTGAGTAATAGCCTAAAGCTATTTTAACAGTGAACTTGATGGTTTGATTCATTTTAGGTGATCTTCATAAGAAGATTTGTGACCAAAAAGGAGTTTCCTTCAACAGAGAGGTATGTATCAAGACTGTGTTAAGCCATATAATTATGTACGTGCAGGCCTATCTGTCAAATTGGACCTCAGATGTCAAGAAACTTAACATTGTATGCAATTTAATTGTAGATATATATATGAATTTGTTTGGATCTTCAGTTTTATCATTTTGCCTATTGTTCTCTGTTCTAAGGGAATTAGCACTAATACTGACTTTGTGATGTAGATGATCATGTTTTCAGTTTTAGTACTGTACTATTCTTTATGTTGTAGGTGATCATGGATTGGTTTGTTCAGATGTGCATGGCACTACAGTACATCCACAAACAGAACATACTACACAGAGGTACTTGTATTATATGATGAAGGTACATAGGGCCACATTGCTCACAAGAGTCACTATCTATCAAAAAACCAAAAAACATTGAATTGAATCTTGTGGGGACATGAACACAGTGATGCATTGCAGTGGGCATAGCATTCCAGGAGCCTTTTGCTTTCCTTTTTTTCTTCAATCTATTAAAGAATTTTAAATATGCACTATGAAATACTTCTGTTACCAATGCATTTTCTGGGGAAAAATTTAAAAAAAGGACCAAGGGTCAAAGGGATACAATACAACAATATAAAAGGATTCATAGAAGTATAGAATAAACAAAATAAACTGATTCTTATAGATGATAGATCATCAAAATTACTAGTGTAGTACTATGTAATTCACAATTTGAAAGTGGCACCCTTGTTCATTATAATTGTGCACATAGTTTTTTTGTTTAATATCAAGGAGTTTCAAAGAAATAAAACATTTTCACTCCTCCAGGACCCTTGAACCTGGAATCACTTTAAAAATTTTGGAAGAGGCACCCTTGCTCTATGCTAAATATATAGTGAGAGAAGAAAATATTTCCAGATTATTATTTTTTAGTTCCAAATAGAGGTCTTTATGCTATTTTACTGGTATATATAAATGTGCTGAAGAAATTATCTTGGCTCAAAATTGTCTCAATAGTCTCAAGTACAGTAAAACTTGTTTAATCTTGCCCCCACTGGTTCCAAAGAAATTGGCTGCATTATACAATACACATGTATCTAAAAATATTGAATTTGCTGCAATGGTAAAATGGAATTTCTATTTGAATTTTATAGATCTAAAGTCTCAAAACATATTTTTGACCTCGAAATCCATTGTTAAAGTTGGAGATTTTGGAATAGCTCGAGTACTCAAGGACAGTTCTGATTTAGCTGTGACGACAATAGGCACCCCCTTCTACCTCAGCCCAGAAATATGCCAGAAAAAGCCGTATCCTTCATAAATGGCAGCTCAAAGTGTTTTCAGAAAACAAATAACTTTTGCCTTTTAAAAGTCCATCTAAAAAGCAACATATACATGTATCTATGGTATCACATCGATATATTCATCTGTTTTTAGCTTTTCCTTGCTCAGCTCATAATTTAAATACTTCTTTATCATTTGTGAGAGCTATTTAGAATTCCTTGACTGGACTCCTAGCTATAACCATAAGAGTGATATGTGGGCCCTGGGCTGTGTATTATATGAGATGTGCTGTCTCTGTGTACCATTCAATGCCGAAGACCTCCAGGAACTCATCCTAAAAATCCTCCAGGAAAATTACAATCCTATTCCAAGGTTACTCTTAGTTATTATCAAATAGATTTTAATTAACAATTAATTGTAATAATAAGAAAAAGACCTGCAAAAAGTTCTGCAGTTATTTAGTTTTTGTTTCCAGAAATTTGGATGCTGAATGTTAGTGTGATCTTCATTATAAGGTATACTATTTCCGTTGATCTATTTTGAACTCCAAACTAAAAAATATTTTATGACTATTACAGATTTCTGGGATCAACCCTGAGTCTTCTGATTAGAAAGCTCCTAGATAAAACCCCAGAGAATCGGCCCTCAGCAGATTACGTTCTGTCCTTGTCTGCACTTAAACCTTATATACATAAACATGACCCAAAGAGTAGACAGCTCAGACAACTTCAGTCGAAGGAGCGGCGATTCAGTCTCCCAAACATTCCAAGAAAGGACCAGGAGAAAGAAAGGAGAAACAGCAGAGCTTCCGTCGACAAAGAAAATGTAGGTCAAATATTCTATCAACAAAGACATTGCATGAATCCAAAATATGTTGAAACTTGCGTTTTTGACTTACCGTTCATTCTCATTCACAGTTGGACCCAAAGATGGCAGGAAAGACCTATTTGGTGAAGAACCCAAAATTTAAACAACTGGCAAATACTCCAAATGTCTCGCATATTGTGGCCAAGCAAAGGAAGAGGCAATCTGACAGTTTAAGTCAGGTAATTTATCTGTCTTCGTGATAGCTTTGTTCCTTGCACTTTCATTAAAATAAATTAAAATAATCTTCAGCCAGTAGGATTTAGAAGTTGCATGGTTGTGGGACATGGCTTATGATGACATCAATCTTTGTGGGACATGGCATCTGATGGATTTATTCTGTTTCTTGTAGGAGGAGCCCTTTCCAAGAGCAGCTCTGTTCTGCAGAGTGGAAAGAAATTCATCCAACACAAACATTGAAAACAAGCCAACGATTGAAAGAAAACATTCCATTAAAAATGCTGATTTACAACCTGATAACAACAATAAAGACAAACGTCAGTCTATTGATGGAATACCCAGACAGAAGCTTGAGAAGAGAGATCAGGATTCTAGAAGACAACAGAGTGTTGAATCTAGTGAGAACATTGGGAAACCCCCATCTGGTCGGAAAAGTCTGGACTCCAAGCCTCAAAGTCTGCTGGCATTCCAGAAGGAAGGAGGTAATAATTACAGGGGAAATGTAGCAGAGTCCAGTCAGGTGAAGAAAGGAAGCAGTGAACGGAGAAGCTCTGGAGTACACAGCAGTGAGTGTCAGGGAAAACCCAGATTTAGAACTCCTAGCATAGAACCCAGAATCTCTGACAGAAGACCTACTCCAATCGGGTCTGAAGGTTCAAGTGTAACCAAAAAACTTTTCTCAAGACACAAATACCCAGCATGCCGTGCCAGTAACGATGATCCTGACCAATCAGAAACAGAGAATGAAGTATTTGTGGATCAGGGTGTAGCTGATAATGAACTCAGACCTATAAATGTTGCTAACAGTCCAAAGAAAGTACGACGGTCTAGTTCCTATGACTGTGTATTTGTGGACAAAAAACAGACCCCTAATGATGGCTCAATACCAAGAGCAAAGTCAGCTGGAAGCATCAAAAGGCAGTCAACAGATGGATACACCTACAATGTCTCATCTTCTCTAATGCCTTCTGGGAACATAGGTATAAACCTTATAATCTATCAATTATAGTAAGATTTAAGATCAATCAAGCTCTTAAGATGAATGAAGTTCATCCCTGTGTTTGTCTGTATGGAAACAATTCCTGAAAATGCCAAGTGCTCCTACAATTTTGGGTCTCTAGATTTATCCATTCATCTTCTTCAAATTCAGTGCAGACGATTTTAAGTTATACTAAAATATTCTAATCTTTTGAATTAGGGCATGCTTACTCCTCCTTGGCACCTGATCCCACCTCTGCTGTATCCTCCTTTAGCTTTTTTAATCTGAAACAAACCTAACCAAGCAGCTGAGTTCCAAAAGATACATTTGTCATATCATAAGGGGACATTAATCAGTGTTTCAAACACATTTTACTGAATATTGCCTTAATAATGGACCAAGCATCCTTTGACCTTGTGTAATGAATAATTTGGAGGGCTTACTTCTGGTTTGTTTGTTTAGTGTAGGAATTAAAGGACTGGCTGTAAGCAACTGCTAAATCAAGTGCAAAACTGCACATTTACATATAAATGAAATATTCAGAAATACTCTAAATAAAATATATTGCTTACTTATTAAAAAATCTGCTAAATATCTACAGTGAGGTGTGATTTTTTTTTATACCATACTATTACTCCCTGAAGTAGTTTGTGTTTGGCGATACCTTAAGTTTCAGCTAAATATTAGAATCTTTATTGACAATGTTTTTTCTCCCTCCCTAGATAAAGACAAAGGGAAAATGGACTTTAATCAGGACTTGTTGAATAGTGTACCAAATGTTTTATATAATGCTGTGTGCAGCTTTGTAACAGACAGGGATAAGGGGACAGAGTTTCTGTCTGCTGTAATTACCAGGACTTTTGGGAAGAGAGAAGCGGAAAAGTACATCTCCAAAATAACCCAGAGTTTGATTGAACAGAAACCCTTCCAGGAAGTAGAACTGATCATTCCAGAAAATAAGAGGGAGTTCCTTCCCCTCCTCTTATGTTACATACAAATGTCATATTGATGCTGAATATTCCCTTAGCTAAAACAGGGAACAAAATGTGTAGCTAAGTGTTCATTTAAATTATTTTGTCTTTTGAATAATGATGTAGATAGATGAAAAAATAAAAAAAAAATGAATAGGTTTCACTGAATTTGAGTTTTTGTCATACTTAAATCAATATTCATTGATTGCAATTGGTTCGGAGGTTCAAAGGAAGCAGCTAAAATATTCAGACACACAAAATGATGAACCAAAACAGATCACAACAATAGTTCTGATCGAGTGACAGAGGTATTGAATATAAATGTAAGTAAAACCAAAACATTGCTGTTGTCTGTCCAGTGATTTTTGTGCAGTGTTTGAAAATCAGCCATGAAAGTAATAGCAGAGTTCTTGCCCACAATGGCGTAAAGTTATGAAGAATGCCTTTTGTCATTGTGCCAAAACGTGTTTGAAAGTCAGTCAATATCTTGGATCTCAATAGCTCAGTGGTTAGAGCACTGGCACGGTGCACCAGAGGCCCTGGGTTTGAGTCCCGGTTGAGACTTGATTTTTTGCCACCTGTGACATTTGGCACCCAATGTGGAGTGAATGATGAATAATAAGATCTTTCACGCAAGTTCAATTTATTTAACTTTAGTCTTTAAGAGAGATATCTTTTGATGCCTAGACACTGTTGCATTGCCATTTGGTTTGAACAAAAATTTCAATTTTTAAAAAATATAAAGTAAAAATATTTACTTGTAATCTGTGTCGAAGCCCCTTTGCAAACTAAGGCTATAACTCAGGGTCAGTCAAATAGTTTATCTTATTAAAAAAAGGTCTTATGATTTAAAATCTTGTAGCTGGTTAAATTCAATAAAAAAAGAATGTAACAATTTGATGAGTTCACTGTTGAACATGATCAATTGAAAGATGGGACTAGGAAACAATGCAATTTGTCAAACCCAACAGAAAACAGAAAAGAATGTCAAGAAGGTAATCTAGTCCAAACATTAAAATTCCAGCAATCTTGTCCAAACAATAGCTCAGTACATGACCAAAGAACATGTATGACATTTGGAGACAATGTAGTAGACCCATTATTATAATGGTTATAGATTTATGATTGGATAAAATCAGAAAATAAAAATACTTTCAGTCAAAAAGCTTAAGATATGAGGACATTTTGGAGATTGTTAGAGGGTAATTTGGTTTGGTATTTGTTTGGCATTGAATTAACAATGTCAGAAGTCACTAATGATGAATGACTTGTTGGGATGGGGATAAGGGGGTTGACAAATATCAGCAATCTTAATCCATACCTTTACAAGTAAAGCACCACTTGATTATAAGGTCAACAATTTTATTAATAAATTAGACAAAATACTGGTATAAAAAACAAAACAATGCAATATTAAGAATGAGGAAAATAACACAAGACAAAATCCCAATCAAAAATCAATTGGTTCATTTGTTTTACAAACATAATTAATGGTTCTTTAAACAACAGACTTAGTAATCATCTTTTCATAAAAAAATAGTTCAGCACTAGTTCTCAAAAGTGTTTTGTGATAATGTTTGTCCTTGTAAATTATCTTCAAACTGGCTCTTCAAAGTTTTCTCTACTCATGTTGTATTACATTTTTTTAATATCACATTAGTTGTACAAGTTCATCAGATCACAGTAAGTATTCCAAGTTCATTAGATCACAGTTAGTAGTCCAAGCTCATCAGTAGAGCAGTTCCTCTCTTGACCCAGTGGTCGGGGGTCTTCTCTCCGGCCTTCAGCTCCACGGCTACCACAAAGGACGGCCTGCCCATTCCTCCCGCACGGTTAGGATAATAATAACATGGCGCCATATACATTCCTACAAACAAAGCAAAAGTTAATTCCTGTACATACAGAACAGAAAGATCTTATCTTGAGACAAAATTTTGTCCAGACATACCTTTGGCAGTTTTCTTCTTATTTTCCACTGGTTTGAAATGAATGGTTGGCATCAGGCAAACCAGCTGCATTGGATTGGCCTCCACCAAGTGAGAGTTCTTCTTATCCCAGCCTGCCCCTTGTAGGAAAAGGCCTTTAATGTATACACCATCCTGAAAATAGGAAAAATCATGAAACCAAATTCTTAAAAATGGTGTTAAATGTTATTCATATTTTCTTTCATATCTAACATTGCTGATTCATGGTAATCATAGCAATCCAGTCTATCATCATTGAAAAATTACAGTGTATAAAAAGTGAAGTTTTTAAGGCCAAAAAAAATTAATAAATAGTTTCTCAGGCCAAAAAATTCAAAATTCAATGCGGCAGGCAGTTTTTTTTTTTTTTTTGGAAGCAGGTTTTACCTCTCTTTTTTTTTTAAGTCATTTGTGCAGTAAAATGATAATATCTACTGATTCTTAAGTTTTGTTCTCTGAAATTACTTATAATATGTATTCAACGTTAAATAATGATATTCCAAACATTTATTCAAAAGTTAACTGATAAAATACTTTAGATTTAGAAGAAGTATATTGTTTTTCTAATAAAAACGTCTTTCTTAGCATTTATGAAAAGGGGAATAACTCGATTTTCTTTCTCAACTTGGAGAAATAGAAAATCGAGTTATTTCCCTTCTCAATATGTCAATAAAATTGATCAATGCGGCCGTTTTTGAACTGATGCGGCGGTGCATGAGAAACTATTGATTATTTTTTTTGGGCCTAAACCAGAATGAAATCCCAAATTTATTTGTAAGAGTTACTATCAGAACGTAATGGGTACCTTGGGAGGTCCAGTGATGTTGGAGTCATCAACAGTCATCACACTGAATTCCCAGGACAGCGAGTCCACAGATACCTAAAATAAACCAAACATAAATATACTTAACAACCTTCATAAGGTCTGCTTTCAAGACATTACTCTGCAAATTGGCCAATGTAGTTTCAAACATAAAAGAAAAGATTTCCAAATTTTATTTATTGGTATGAGGTCTTTACACAATGACTAACATCACAGACACAAACAAAGATTCTTACGCTGTTCAATCGAGCTGAAGTCTGGAGTACAGCAGTAAGGAAGCCTGTGGGGAAGGTGAATCCGGACATCCAGAATATAGTGGGAGGGTGAGCCGTCAGGGCCCACTTCTCAAACTGCTCCACCCTCAGGACCAGATCTCTTGTCCAAGCTGCCAGGGGCTTCAGTGAAGGGAAAGCCTACAACACACAATTTTCAATAGGATCCACTGGGCCAACATAGAAAAAATGTAATTACTTTAAATACTGTATTCTGATACTATGATGCAACTCTCTTTTACTGAGACTTTGAATACCTTCAACCATGATGGAGGAACATTGCCATCAAATATACACTGGAATATATTCTCTAGTTCTACAGTCATGACGACCAATCCCTGAATTCCTTTCTCCAAGTCTGTCAAAGACTGTCTGATCTCTACCAACAAGGCATTGTATCGCTGAATCTGTAAACAGGGATGTTATCATCAATATATATTCATAATGCCTTTGGGTACATTCACAGATAATCAACTGAGGCTAACAATTTGTACAGACCTCTTGTAACAATACCACATTGAGAGGGGATGGGTCTATGGACAAGATCTTGGCTGTGTTGTCATAGTCAATATTCTCAGGAATCTGTTTAAAGATGTTAGCTGCCAGATCTAGAACCTAAAAAAACAAAATGACCATTCAAAATTATGATTTTTTTTAATCTCAAATATTTTGGCTAAACAAGGGAAATTTTGCCCCCACTTAAAGAAGGACTAAAGTTTAAAACATTTTTAATGCAAAAATTGTAGAGAGAACTTGAGTTACAATCTAAAAGCTACTTTATACAATATATAAATTTCTTTTACCCTCTCCTTTTTACCTCAAAATCTAGATGTGGTAATGATTTAAAATTTCACTACAAAAGGTATGAGATATCATCCAGACACTATAGTGTTATAGAAAGAATGCAGGGCCACTAAGACCAGTTGTTACCTTATCCTCCCTGCTCTCTCCCCCTCCTGCGGCCGACACTTGCGGCTGTAGAGATAGGAGGGTGTTAAACAAAATCCTGGTCTCCTGGATCTGGGACTGAATGTCTGCATTAGGGTGCTGTCCGAACGCCTCGGGTGGGTCTACGTTAGGAAGCATGCTGACGTACTCCTTGTAAGAGGACAGGGGTCCATCCTTTGGTACATAGTACGTGGACACTGAGGACACTCTGTAAAGATAGTCAACCTTGAGATGAAATACCAGGGTTAATTTACATAGGGCCAGGGGTTTTCTGACCTATTCCATTCCAAGCAGTTATTTTCATGCAAAGCTAATATAATTTCTTTAATCTGTACAACATTCAAATCTTGCATGAAACAATTAAAAGTAACAGTTTTGAAATTGAGTAACAACATACTTGTAGAAAGGCGTAGAGAGGACTTGGTCCTGGAATAACTCTGATACGTAGGTCATAAGCAGTCTCCTGTCCCAGTCGTCAGTGACGTGGCCTCCGTAGCTGATACCAGCTATCAGGTACTTCAAGGCTTCCCAGGGAGTCTCCTCATACTCGTCCAGGTAAATACTCAGGATGCTCTCAGATACCTGTCAACATATCATGTCCAAAATACACTTTAGTACTAGTGAATAATACTGATGTAACATCTACCTACAGAATTTCCAGGAAATTTACATGTATATACTGAATGCAAAATTTTATTTGTTTCCTTGCGAATACTGGCAACATATGTTTTCACAAAAATTTATTTAATTCATATGATGCCTGAACTATTTCTCCACCATTCAATAAATACTGGCACTATGGTGGTACCAGTATCAGTGTTGGCACTACATTTGGTGGTACAGGATGCAATGGTGACATAATAAAACTGACACTACAATAGGTGGTACCACTAATAACACTGACACTATAAGTGGTTGTACACTATACCAGTAAAGTTGACCTAGCATTTAATGAAAATTCTTGTTACCTCAAAGTCAGAGTCATTAAATTCATAGGCAATGTTCCAGCCCAGCATGAGGAACTTTCTCCTCTCCAGCAGGACAGAGTGGAAGAAGCAGAGACAGAACAGCAGCTTCTTGTATTTGTC